GAACATACACATCAAAAGCTTCAACAAAACCCTATTCCCTATAAGGGGCCCCAAAAAGGACCTTGATTTAGAAATCTATGCATATCGAAGCCCAAAACGAAAAGCCCTAAACCCTAAACCCTAAACCCCGAACCCTAAACCCCACAAGCAGGTCTTGGGTGCAAGGCCCCTACCGGCTCGCATCTGCACGGGGACAAGCCACGTAGGGCTCGGCGGATCGGTTGCGCCTTTGCCTTCTTTGAGGACTTTGGGTTTAAGGGTTCAGGGTGTAAGCCCCAAGGCTAAACCCTAAACCCTAAACCCTAAACCCTAAACCCTAAACCAAGGGTTTAAGGGTTCAGGGCTTAAGGGTTTAAGGGTTTAGGGTGTAAGGGTTTCAGGGCTTAGGTGTTTAGGGCTTAAGGGTTTAAGGGTTTCAGGGTTTAGGGCTTAAGGGCAGAAGGCTTTGAGGTTTAGGGTTTAGAGTTCCGATAGGAAGGCTTGAGGGTTTGCTTTTTGAGGGTTGAAGGTCTCAGTCTTGAAAGGTTGAAGAGTGTAGACACTGCAGGGTTCAAGGTTTAAGGTTTAAGGGTTTAGGGTTTAGGGTTTAGGGTTCAGGATTCAGGGTTTAGGGTTTAGGGTTTAGGGTTTGGCTGGCAGTGCGCCTGACAACCGAAACTGCCGCAAGACCCAGATGAATGCTCTAGCCGCTGGCATCCGAAACACTATGTTTAGCGGTGAAGCCATTGACCCTGAATCGCTTCGTCTTTTGTCATGCTAATTGCAAACCTTGCAGTTGGAAACTGTGAAACCTCTACCCCTCCTCCTTGCAGATCATATCAGAATTACTTCGCCGAAGGCCTTGTATATATTTACATTCAATCAGCACAATAGACGATTTATATTCAACACCCCGGACTTCAAGATCATATTTCATATTGGGTACACTGATGTAGCTTGCATGATCTAGAGCTCTGGCAATCACCCGCTAAACCCTAAACTAAACCCTAAACCCTAAACCCTAACCCTTAAAACCCAACAACCCCAAAAAACTCTGAAAAGACAGCACAGCACCTAGATCCGAAAAGACCAGAACCCAAACCCCCCGAGCCTTGAACTCGGAACCGAAACACCCCTACTTGGAGGTTCATGGGTAGTTATAAGTGGGGTTATAAGTCCCCTAACATGGGTTATAAGTATAGTTACCCTACTTATAACCCCATTTATAACTTCCCATGAACCTCCAAGTAAGCCCTACCAAGATAACGTACTTCAGCTGCAGAGAGTAGTTATCTGGGTGAATATGTGGGAGAGTATTTGATTATTCGGCACCTGGACCCTGAGCCCTAAACCCCCTACCCTAAACCCTAAACCCTAAACCCTAAACCCTAAACCCTAAACCCTAAACCCTGAACCCTAAACCCTAAACCCTAAACCCCCTAAGCCTTCCTTCAGCCCTCCCTAAACCCCAAACCTGTAGATCTAAACTATGAACCCTAAACCCTAAACCCTAAACCCTAAACTCTAAACCCTAAACCCTAAACCCCAAACCTGTAGATCTAAACTATGAACCCTAAAGCATAAACCCAAAGAGTTCCTACACCCTAAAGTTGTGCAATGCTCAAGCCGTTGAGATCTCGGCTCTTAAGTCCTTCTTCTCTGAAACTCTCCAGCCCATCTAGGGAGGTCTTTCAGGAAGCCGGAGTTTGAATGGAGTGTCCTCGGAAAGCACCTCCTTGAAGCATATCTCGCTGTAAACGCCAGCAGAGGAGCTTGATTCAACCAAAACTCTCAGATCCCCCAAACCCTCAAAGCCGAAGCCTTAAACAAATCCTAAACCCAGGAAATGGATGCGATCGCGCAACTCTGAGCCGGTGGTGCACAGGAGCAGTGCTACTCAGAATGCCTGTTGTAAGTATGGCCTGACCTTGTTCACCCTTACTAGGCCTCTTGCGACTAGTTCGTAGCAGTTCTTACTCCATCACGGCAGCCGTTTGGGTTTTGTCGCTAGGGTTCAAGATTTAGGGTTTGGGATCTAGAACGTAAGCTTCACAGTTTTAGTCTTGGCTGTTGAGAAGTCTCTTCATCACTTTTCCAGGATGACCAGTGGGGACGCCTTTTGAAGCCATCGTGTGGAAAAAGATGCGCCGGGGGTAACCTTCCGACATGTCCTTGTCAGACCCTTAGCTCCGGGATAATGTAGGGGCCTTAAGACAGTAATTACCTATACTTTTTTTTTGTTGGGGGGGGGGTTCCTTATTATAGTTCTATAGTATAATATACCCCCCTCAAAAAAATACTATTCCAATTATTAAGGCCCCTACGTTATGTACCAACATTATTCCTTGGGGTTCATTATTATATTATACCTATGGTAGAATGTATCCCGAGCCCATCCAAACCCTCTTCAATTTATCAAGGGCCCTTGTATCACGACATCCCTAAACCCTAAACCCTAAAAACCCTAAACCAGTAACCAAATGGTCTAGATTTGGGGATCCAGTAGCAAGTTCATGGGTGCCACCTAGAAGGATAGAGCCTGCGACCCTCAACCATGACGAGTTGAAGCAGTGTCATACGGCTGATGATATAAAACCTGCATTACCTTGAGGACCCTAAATTTTGGAAATTATGGTATGCTGGATTTATATCATCCACCGTACTTTGCCTCATCCTCATCCTCGCCGCCGGCTGAGGAAGAGCATCGATTGGAGTCCACCCAAGTGCTGGTACAACTGCACCGACCCGAGCCCTGTTCCCACAGGCTGCTGGGGGGAAACTGCGTGTGTTTCTTAGAGCGAGTGCCTCAGAACCCTAAACCCTGTACCCTAGAATCCAAGTGATGCTACGTGATGTGACCCGAGATTAGAAGTAGCAGTACTAGTTACTTGCAGTAGCAGTAGCAGTAGTAGCACTAGCAGCAGTACTGGCCGCTATTTCTTTCTCCAAGCAGCATCTTTCGTCAGTAGTTTACGGGCATGGTACTTGTCTTGTGTCCGACTCCAGGACGTCTACTCTCTGCCCTAGTTAGAGCCCTGAAGAACCCTGAAGAACAGCTGCAAAACAACTACGAGCTTCGTTAGATGCCTGCGGTGGCCTGAACCAGCAAGGCCCTGTGCCCTGAGACTCTCTACACTGATTTTGTACTCCATGGCCCCAGTGCTCGATAGGCTTGAGCTGCAAGACCTCGAGGGTTTCTCGGGCTGCGGTGTTCCGGCTTCCGGAAGTCACCCGCAAAACCACGCAGCCAGACAGGGAACTAGGTAAGGTCCATCAAGATCGTCATCCATTCCTCGATGGCGTTAGGCTCGGTTGCGGTGTTGTACAGGCATGTACAGGCATTGCTGCCTGGTGCAGTCGAGATGTACGGAGGTGTGTTCAACTCTAGCTGAATCTCACACTTCAATGGCTTAGAAGAGTTGAAGCAAAGTCTAGCTGAGCTTCCTAGTATCGTTTCACACCTTGTATAAGGTTTTCAGGAGCCATACCTGCATCTAGGACGTAGGCGCAGCCGCACTTCAGCCGAAGACCCTCGTTTGTTGTGTGGCGGGCAGGCTACGCCCGTGCTTCCGACATCTACAACCTTGGCTGTCTTT